CATTAGTAACAGTATGAAATTGGAGACTCAAGTTTTGGGTCTGCGTATTTCAAAGCATTATTAACAACTGTCTTACCTTAAGTTAAAATTTTACATTTGATATCTACTTTATGATTAATTTGTTAGTCACCAAAGTGGCCAAATTAGAAGGTTTATAGATATCAAGTTGAATCAAGTTCAACTGCTAATGTTTATGTGATGCTTTTAAGTTGAAGTTCGTGATTATAAAATATTTTGAATCACCCAAAGGTTGATTGCTCGTTTTATAATTCATGAACATTATCGTGGTAAATTGATATGCTAGGTTAGATATATTTAGTATATCCAAAGATTGCAAGTATATCTAATTTGAGTATGTCTATCAGCAATTATATGATTATTTTGAGCATCAATTACGATTATTTATCGCATATATATTGTTGTTTTGCCCAAAGGTAGCACCAATATATATTTTTATGTTCATGCTTCCAAATATGTATTATAGTTTATGCTTATTACCCAAAGCATTAATGTGTGAGTACATGTTATATATGTTTGCAGCATCTGTTCCTGTTTCTCTTCATTTGCAAGCCACGTCTGTTGTTAAGTTTAATGGCCTCAACTTCTCTGAATGGGCTGAACAGGTTCAGTTTCACCTCGGTGTTCTGGATCTTGATTTAGCACTCTTAAGTGAGAAACCTGCTGCTCTTACTGATGCTAGCAGTGCTGAGGAGAAGTCTTTCCATAAAGCTTAGGAAAGATCTAACAGACTAAGCCTAATGTTTATGCAAATGACTGTAGCAAACAACATTAAGTCAACTTTCAATGATACTGGAAGTGCTAAGGAATTTATGAATTCCGTGAAAGAAAGCTCTCAATCTGAGTCTGCTGATAAGTCGCTTGCTGGGACAGTGATGGGGACGCTACCCACCATGAAGTTTGATGGTTCTTGTACCATGCATGAGCATATCGTCGAAATGACGAATATTGCAGCAAGACTAAAGACCATGGGAATGGAAGTGAATGAAAATTTCCTAGTAACGTTCATCCTTAATTCCTTACCTCCAGAGTATGGCACATTCCATGTGCATTACAATACTCTAAAGGATAAATGGAATGTGCATGAGTTACAAAGTATGCTCATTCAAGAGGAAGCAAGGCTTAAGAAACCAAGAAATCATTGTGCCAATCTTGTTGGTCATAAAGGAGCTGGAAAGAAACCAAGGAACAAGAATGGGAAGGGCAAGGAAGGACTATCAAAGCTTAATGAGTCATCTGCCAAAATCCACAAGAAGGAACCAAGTAAGGATATATGCCGCTTTTGTAAGAAAGCCGGACATTATCAGAAAGATTGCTTGAAAAGAAAGGCATGGTTCGAAAGAAAGGGTAAGCCTAGTGCTTCAGTATGTTTCGAATCAAAGTTAACTGAGGTTCCTTATAATACTTGGTGGGTTGACACTGGTTGTACCATTCATGTTTCCAAAACGATGCAGGGATTCCTTACGACCCAAACCATAAGGCAAAATGAGAAGTTCATCTACATGGGAAACCGAGCCAAAGTTCCAGTTGAACCTATTGGGACTTATCGTTTGGTTTTAGATACTGGTCATCATTTGGACTTTGTCAATACCCTTTATGCTCCTTCTATTTCTCGTAATTTGGTTTCGGTGTCTCAACTAGATAAGGCTGGGTATTTTTGGAACATTGGAAATGGTTCTATTAGTTTGTTCAAACATAATGTTTTATTGGGTTCTGGTACCCTTGTTGATGGTTTGTACAAACTAAAGCTTGATACCCTATTCGCTGAGACTCTCTTAACCTTGCATCATAATATTGGTATTAAGCGTGGTTTGTTTGATGAATCCTCTGCTTACTTGTGGCATAAACATTTGGGTCACATATCCAAAGAAAGAATGGAAAGGTTAGTAAAAAATGAAATCCTTCCTCATTTGGAATTTACTGACCTTGGAATTTGTGTTGAGTGTATTAAAGGAAAACACACAAAACATACACTTAAGAAAGCAGCCACAAGAAGCTCACAGCTCCTTGAAATTATACACACTGATATTTGTGGGCCTTTTGATGTTCCATCACTTGGTGGAGAAAAGTATTTCATTACCTTTATCGATGATTTTTCACGTTATGGATATATCTATTTGCTGCATGAAAAATCTCAGTCGGTAGATACCCTTGAGGTGTTTATCAATGAAGTTGAGAGGCAATTAGAAAGAAAGATGAAAATTGTCAGATCTGATAGAGGTGGAGAATATTATGGAAAATATGATGAAAGTGGACAGTGCCCTGGTCCATTTGCTAAGTTCCTAGAAAGACGTGGTATTTGTGCTCAATACACTATGCCAGGAACACCGCAACAAAATGGTGTTGCAGAAAGGCGGAATCGTACTTTAATGGATATGGTTAGGAGTATGTTAAGCAATTCATCTTTACCCAAATCATTGTGGATGCACGCTTTAAGGACCGTTGTGTATTTGTTAAACAGAGTTCCTAGTAAAGCAGTTCCTAAGACACCTTTTGAACTGTGGACGGGAAGGAAACCCAGTTTAAGGCACCTGCATGTTTGGGGTTGCCCAGCAGAAGTGAGAATATATAATCCACATGAAAAGAAACTAGACTCATGAACAATCAGTGGTTTCTTCATTGGTTATCCAGAAAAATCTAAGGGGTATCGATTTTATTGCCCTAACCAAGTACGAGAATTGTTGAAACTAGAAATGCTAGGTTCATTGAGAATGGTGAAGTTAGTGGGAGCTTAGAGCCACGCAATGTGGAAATTCAAGAAGTTAGAGTGCAAATCTCTTTGCCTCTTCCCTCTTCTCAAGTTGTTGCTCCTGCACATGTTGAGCATGATAACGATTTGCAAGAACAACAAATGAAAGGTCAAGCACCACCTAATATTGCTATTGAGAATGAACCTAACATAGATGAACCACAAGAAATCGCATTAAGAAGGTCTACAAGAAATCGAAGACCTGCAATTTTGAATGATTATGAGGTTTATCTTCATGAGTTAGAATCTGATTTAGGACTCTATCATGATCCAGTTTCATTTTCACAAGCCATGGAAAGTGAGCATTCTGATAAATGGTTAGCTGCCGCGAAAGAAGAGATGAAATCTATGTATAAAAATGAAGTTTGGGACCTTGTTGATTTGCCTGAAGGTTGTAAAAGAGTTGGTAATAGATGGGTCTGGAAGACCAAACACGACTCTAATGGCAATATCGAAAGACACAGGGCCAGACTTGTTGCGAAAGGTTTCACTCAGAAAAGTGGTGTTGACTATAAAGAGACATTTTCACCCGTCTCTAAGAAAGACTCCTTAAGGATTGTCATGGAAATGGTAGCTCATTATAATATAGAGCTCCATCAGATGGATCTGAAAACCGCCTTTCTGAATGGGAATTTAGATGAAGCAGTCTATATGGATCAACCTGAAGGTTTTGTGGTTGAGGGAAAAGAACATATGGTGTGTAAATTAAAGAAGTCAATATACGGACTTAAACAAGCTTCCCGATAATGGTATATTAAGTTCAATGATACCATTACATCTTTTGGATTTAAGGAGAACATCATCGATCGATGTATATATCTGAAGATTAGTGGGAGCAAGTTTATAACTTTAGTTCTGTATGTTGACGATATCTTGCTTGCTACTAATTATCTTGGTTTATTACATCAAACCAAGGAGTTTCTCTCTATGAACTTTGAAATGAAGGATTTGGGTGAGGCATCCTATGTGATTGGAATAGAAATATTTTGTGATAGATCACAAGGACTGTTGGGATTGTCTCAAATATCATACATTAACCGGATCCTAGAGAGATACAACATGGCTGAATGGTCTGCAAATGAATTGGAACGCAAGAAAATGGAACACATTCCTTATGAATCTATTGTTGGAAGTTTGAATTATGCACAAACTTGTACCAGACCAGACATCAGTTTTGCTGTCGGAATGCTGGGCCTATCAAAGTAATCCAGGAGTAGATCATTGGAAAGCTGCAAAGAAGGTACTAAGGTATTTGCAAGGAACAAAAGACCACATGCTCACCTTTAGGAGATCTGATCACCTTGAGGTGATTGAATATTCAGATTCAGATTATGCTGGATGTGTAGACACCAGGAAGTCTACTTTTGGCTATTTGTTCCTTCTAGCCGGAGGGGCAATTTTATGGAAGAGTGCGAAGCAGTCTGTTATTGCCACATCCACTATGGAAGCTGAATTCATAGCTTGTTATGAAGCTATGAATCATGGTTTATGGCTGTGGAATTTTATTTCTGGACTTGGAATTGTCGACACTATCGCCAAGCCGCTGAAAATTTACTGTGATAATTCCGCAACGGTATTCTTCTCTAAGAATGACAAGTATTCGAAGGGTGCTAAGCATATGGAGGTGAAATACATTGTCGTTAAGGAAGAAGTTCAGAAACAAAGGGTGTCGATCGAGCATATTAGCACACAGCTTATGATTGCTGATCCATTAACAAAAGGATTGCCTCCTAAGACATTTGCTGAACATGTCGAAAGGATGGGGATTATAGGACGTCATGACTAAAGTTATTTTATGTTTCATGGATTGACACTTTGAGCTCATTTATTTTGTTTCTGGAATAAAGTTATAAATCTTGTCTTGTTTATTATGATCAATATATATACATTATGAATTATGTGGACAGAACAAGATTTTGTATTTAGGAAAGACATTATTGTTGGACCATTATAAATACCTTGTTATGCTGGTTTTGTGGTACATGGAAGGGACTATGTCGATAAATTGATATAGAACCGCCATGATCCTAATCTAGCTTTCATACTTGATTATGACTTTATGGTGAACAAAATATTATGGAATTATCTTATGATGTGCACACTTATGTTTATTATTAGATCTTTTGATATATAATGACACATGGGCCAAGTGGGGGAATGTAAGCCCAAATCCCGTATGGATCACTAGGGAATAATTGTGGCCCAAGTGTAATTATCACTTAATGGTTTAATATTTAAGGTAAGTCATATATTGGTTAGGTTAATGAAAAAGGTAATTTCCTAATATACCCTAATGGTGGGTCTATATAACGAAACCCTAGGATTGGTCCTCTCTCAACCCATTACGTAGAATTACTTAGCCGTCATAGAAATCTCTAAACCTAAAACCTAATGGGGTCGAGAGGGAGAAACTCAATTACTACTCAAGTCGCCGCCGCCGCTCTCGTCATGGATCGAGGTAGGTTTCCTTGATCTATTACCGATTCGTGAAATCATCTAATTCTAAGATCCATGCTATTGCGAATTCTGTTTACACCCCTTTCCTTTCTGATGCCGACGACAATCTTCTCAACCTCCATTATCGGCGGTAGGCTCCTCCGCCCTCGCTTCTTCCCCACCGTCGCCTGGAAATTGACTTTGCCATTTCTCCCCCATCGATGGGCTCCTTCATTGTAGATCTTGTGACGCCGGCACCTGTCATCGTCGATGGCCTGGTCAGCGGGAATGCGGAGAAGCTCAGGGTAATCGAGAGAGGCATAAGCGTGGCGGGAGCTAAGCATTCCGACTAGGTATTGTGGGGGTGGAATTTGGTTTGGTTTTGTCATCGTAGTATGTTGTCTTTCTTGTGTTCGACGTTTTGTCTCAATGGGGATGTTTTTTTTTTGTGGGGGGTGAAGGATACCATTTGCTTAAAGGTTGCCTGGCAAATTTATTCGTCTTTTGTCGTAGGGTGAGTCATCAATGCTCCATAGTTGATCAAGTTGCTCCAGTGATAGAGAGATCGATAAAAATTGTCCCCGCTGCTCTAATTATATTAAGACCATTCATTGCTTAACTTTGTCAATTACTGCAACTAATACCATGGTATAACTTGGTCATTTGTAGTGTTAATTTCTCACAAATATTTCATAAGCACACAAGAAACTTCCTAAAATAAACCGCAAACATGGTAAAACTGTTAGAATTACACTTAACATATGTAATTCCTTAGAAAATTCATCTTGTCAGATATCAAAGGTTTTTCGGAATACCTGAAGCCATGTTGTTGAACGCCAAGAGGTTGATGCGGAATCTGGAAGACGATCTTTGGCCAGACGATACTTCTAAGAGCACGACCAGGGAGGTAGCGTGATCTTCCTCAACCAAACCTCCTTAGTTCACTAACGGGAAACCTCTTATCTTTCTGATGGAGAGAAGAAGAGAGTTGTGTTGGTCTTGGTGTATTGTGGACCACAACCTCTAGCACATTTATATACAAGTTTCACATGGGCTCCCATAAAACCCAAGTTGAACAAGTATTGGGTTTCAACCCATTTAAGCACATATCAATGCAAGAAGTCTTTGGGCTCTTAATTGGATCACTTTCAATTAGCCCACTAAATCAAATAGCTATATAATTGTCAAAATATGTGGCCCACATCATTATAGGAAATAGAATTTCCTAACAATCTCCCACTTGGGCTGCATATATTTCTTGAAACAATTATATCACAAAATTCTTTAGGCGCGCAATTGTATGCTATTTGTACTTAGACATCTCCTAAAACAATCTGGCCCACGTCATGTATCAATTACAGAACCAACGCGGATTTAATCACGATATCATAATGATTAAACCACCATGATCACCACACCAATACACTCAATGACATAGATCAAATATGGATGAGTGGCATGAAAATTACATGCAATGTGATCTTAAACATGCCTATTTTCAACTGGTCCAACTTTAGTCTTTAGTGAGATCAACTGAAATTCATTCATACAATGTGACCATTATATAACTGAAGGCACTTTAAATTCCAAAATAGACTCTAGAAAATCATCACTTTATACTGCAGAATTGATTCAGTCATAATCTATTGAACTACTTAAATGACTCCCACTAAACCAAGGTACCATCCAGAATAACACTCATGCGAGCAATATGCTCATGGAAAAACTTTAAGTGTCAAACCTTTGGCTATTGGATAAGCTAGCATTAGTCATATCCTTAATGTCCAACAAAAACTTGTTTATTTTGAACTTTATCTTTAACCATTAGGAACTTTATGTCAATAACCTTTGACTTCTGAACTCCAATGGTAATGATAGTGTATCACTATCAAATCATTGTCACTATTAACCTTTCAATGACTTACAAAGTCATTATAGGGACAAAACTTTGCAACCATAAATGGAAGCATCAAAATATGCTTTGAACTCTACCTAACACACAAATGTCACCTAATGTAGAGTTCATGCTATTTTGACATTCTATAGCATCGAAATCAGAGTACTTAATGATCTCTAACTTATCTGATATGATAATTAGCATGCATTCTTTTATCGCCTTTAGTAAATGCCTTATACGTTGGATTCTTTCTAACATTTCATGCATAAATAATTACCCAAATATCTGTCAAATGCTCTTAACCATAAACGCTATGTTGGGATGAGAATTAACTAAACTGGTTGAGATTCAACTGTCTCCTTTAGCTACAACACATCTCTCGGTTTACTAACTTTTATGTGAAGTCTACTTAAACCTTATCGATATGACTCTTTTGAAATTGAGTACACATTGAAAATTTATCTCCTAGTATCTCAATACTGAATACAAAAGACGCGAGACCAAGAGCCCTTATCTCAAATTTCCTTTTTTTAGAAATTTCTTGATCTCGTGCATTAAGCATATATCGCTACTATAAAGTAGAACATCAATACTGTAGAAAACGGAAAAATGAATTTCCTCCCACTGAACTTAAGATATACACAGTTATCTCCAACATTAATCTCTAAGTTTGAATGAGCTAATAACAAGATAAAAAAATTGGGATATCAATAATGAGATGCTTATATGAGCCACCATTGCCATTATATTCATAAAATAGTTTTTCAAATATGCAGAGAGAAAGTCTCTTTGAGTAAATGCTTTCCTTCTAAGTAAAGCCTTTAGAGACCAACATGCCTTATATCTCTCAATGACTTCGCCACATGACATTAATCCACTTTTCAGAATTATAACGATATTGTTAGCTAGAATCGTCCATCTTCTCCTTTGTGGATATACTTAATGGCACTTCTTTAAGTGTGTTGAGTTTGTGCAGTAACTAGATTCCTTATGTTTCCTCCCCCAAAACTCAATATACTCAAGAATCTCACATTTCTCATTAAATAAAAACTTCTTGAGGTGGGATTATAAAACTTGTATCCTTGAGAGTACTTTTGAGTAGCCAACACAATATAAGTTAATTTTATCCTTTTGTCCATTATACCTTCTTGTACCTTACAATGTATGTCCTAAGTTGGACAACCATAAATGTGCAAGATCCTTGTTGCACATATTGGTTACATTAACTACCTTCTGGATACTCAGTTTAAGGATGTACGTTGTAACCTTTATGGCTTTTATCCAAATGGAGTCTAGTAAGTAGAAATACTCCTTACCATGTCCTTTAAGAGTTCAACGAAACCATAAAATCCTTAACTCTCTATTTAGTGAGTGGGTTCAGTCTGATCTCGTAATTTCCCTCCTCTTCTTTTGTGAGTATTAGTACTCACCTAAAACTTCACGGAGGAAGATAAATTAAACCAAGTGTTGAGTATGTCTTTTGACAACTCCAACTTTAGTCATTTGATTTTAATGCAAAATAAGACACCTCCAAAATGTAATACACTTGTACATTTTGCCTTTACACTTTATGGGTTAAATTACCCCAATAGGCAGCTTACCCCGGACCCTTTTATGTTTAGGCAAAATACTGTATTATTACTTCAATGAACCTCATAGGCATCTTAGTATAACAATCCCATAATTATTCATCGAATAGAACGCTTAATGATCATCATGCACACTGAATTGGAGCAATCTCTATTCGCTATTATTAAATCTCATTGAGATTTTCAGAAGTAGAATAGGGGTTGTTCCACATAAAAGCGCAAAGCCTATATAGCGTGAATAATTGTCTTGAATTTACTTTAAATTCTTTAGATTCATCCCATTTAGCAGAAGAGTAAACTTTAACTTCGACAAAAATATTTAAACCAAATCATTAAAACTATATTGAGATAAAAAAAAACACACATCATGCCATGTAATTAAACAAGACAAGAAAATTATCCAACGTTGGGTAACCAATCATAAGATACCAAATGCAACATTAATTCTTAGTCTTTTGACATATAAATTAACTGCGAGCGGTACTCTTAATACAATGATCAAATACTAATAATAAGTTCTGTCAAAGAACAGTCTATCTTTGGACCGACTGTTATTCACATGAATAATAACTTTATAATTATCACGTATTTACCATTAAGGTATTTGATTACTTGTTCAGTTAGTGTCGTCCTTTGGGTCGATCATTACCCATATAAGTAACCTTACACGTACATCCATGTATTCTAAGTGGAATAATCTTTCACAAGTGGAGGTTAGTTTGGCAACATACTGCTAAAATTAAATTAATTAAAATACCGGACAATTCTCTCATAATCACAAAATATCAACAAGTGATTAATTACCATTAAGAGAGAATTACAATAATAATTTAAATGAAGGTTTACTCCATCCCAAGACACAATGCACTCCATTAATATTTGTCTTTAGACAAAATATTATGTTACACCCCGCTCTTCCCAAAAGTCAAAATTACTATTATACCGTTGGGTCAAGTTCCACCGTATTATCAATGAGGATTAAAAATGTGAACCAATAGTTCTAACGGTGTCGAGTTTCGACCTGAAGTGAGAAAATTATGGACGTCAACTGAGTTTCGGATTGAACTCACCCGTAAATTATTAAATGTCCAAAATACCCCCTGAACTAATTAAAACTTAAAGCCAATCTCGAAGCCCATATCCCACTCGGCCTCGCGACAAAAAACCCTAAACTATCTCCTCTCTCTCTATCCCCTCGTGCAACCTTTCTTCCCAGGGCTCGATCGATTCTCTACCAACGAGGCAGGTGCTCCTCTACTACAGACCAACCAAGCAGGAGATGGCCAAGCACAGATGCATAATAGGGCGGCGGATGAACAGAGCGGCAGAACATACTCTGTTTTATTTTTATTGCCAAATCGGACGGTATGCCACTGGATGGAAGAAAACTGGATGTTCGGCGTCATCCCCTTCCTACTACGAGAGGTGCATGCTTGACGTGCCTGCTTGAATGGTCACTAGCGGCGGCGGATCGAATCGCGACGGGAGGAGCATCGTTGACGAGCTTTGCGACGGGATCTGTGCTCGGCAAATAACGGAAACGAATTATGAGTTGATCAACGTCGGGAAGATCCAAGTCGTGGATATGGTCGCGAAGAGGACAATCCCAGGATCATCACGGTGTCGACGAATCCAAAATCCAACATCAGACGGGGGAGAACGGAGCCTCCGAAGTTTGGACACCCGTTCTCCGAAGTTTGGACACAAAATTGGTCAAGTTCACATACAGTTCTTGGTAATTTAAAAAAGTAAGAGCACTGGTACGTAAATTTTCCAGAAGGGTCAGGGTCAATAGGTTGACTGGGAGAAGTTCAGATTTGGTGCCTAGTATTTTGGAATCTAACAGAATTCGTATTTTGGGCCTATCTTGTTCGTTTGACGTCCAAACGAGGAATCGTCGGCGCCTACATGATCGTAGAGGTGAGAGGAGAATTTAATGGAAGCAATTCATGGAATTTTGGAGCAGAAACAGAGACGGTTTTGATGGATTTGAGGTGAGTGTAAAGGGGGTAAATTCTACGCCTTACGTGTTCTTTCAAGTATTACGAGCTTTTAAGGATTGTGATGAAGTGATTGTCGTTGTTTGATTGTGCTTATGTTTAATGATATGTGCTTTGGCTGAGTTACGATTTGAAGTGAACTGTGGATGAGTTTAGTTCCTATTTGAAGCTTCATATTTATGAGTTGTCGTTAAAGTCTAAAAACAAGTCCTTTTTAAAGAAGTTCTTCACCTTCAAGAAGGTGAAATCGTTTTAAGAGTTTTTAGTCACTAGGGCTAGTCTATTGCCATTTGAGATATTGAGATAGAGCACAGCAGTTATGCTCATGAGACTTTTAAGATGAGCAGTAGTTATGCTCTTGAGATATTTTAAGATGAGCAGCAGTTATGCTCTTTAGAATCGTGGAAGAAGAGCCTTCCACGATAAGTTTAAGTTTAAGGAAAGCCTGGAGGGCTTCTCGTGCGTATGAGTTGGGCAACCGGACTAGCTAGTGAGGGATCCCCATGTCGGTCAAGTATTTAAGTCAAGCTTTGAGATTTAAGAATGGAGAATAACAGTAACTCACATACAGTTTTAAGAGTGGAAGCTAGCTAGAAGAGTTAGAGGAGGAGCTAGAGGAGCAGTTAGAGAGCAGCGAGATCGAGAGAAACAGTTCGAGGGAAGCCAACTAGAGGGTAACGACACGAGCGTCTTGGAGGTTGTCCAATCAAAGTTTCCTATGAGCAGCAGGAGTAGTTGAGACTAGGTAGTTATTACGTTTTATGATTATGAATATAGACTGGAGATCTAGTTGAGTTTTTTAAAGTTCGAGCTAAGTTGCCCACGTGATAGGGCGTTGCTTTGAACTACAAGAGTGTGTTTTCAGAAAAAAAAAATTATGAAATGTTTTTATTGCAATTTAAGCTTTGAGTGTTTTGATTTTCAAGGATATTTTGGTAAAATTAGTACCCGGTCGGGGGTTAGGGTGTTACATATTAACTTGTAAGTAATGCCTTATGATCGAGTAATTAAATATTGATGATAAGAACATGTGATAGTAAATCTACCTTTGGTCCGATTTAACATTCACATGCGAACCAAATGATCATCACATATTTATTACCATGCGCGCATATGAAACCTTAAATATCCACCTAACTTTGGACTAGTGAATACATAATTTGTATGCGCTAAAATGTAAACCTTTACCGTATTTATAAACCGAGCCCCAAACATTGCTTTGCGAAATGAGGCTTATATTCCTCATAAGCTAGTCTTGTTTACTAACAAATTACGGAGATTTTTCCAGAAATAGCATCATTAAAAAAAATTACAAAAATATCACCCAATCCACACAAATTCCAAAAACCGCACGGCCAAGGTGCGGTTTACATATAAACCGCAACCTGAGGGTGCGGTTTGACTTTCAGAAATTATACCGCACCTTGGCAAGGCGGTTGGCTTTCTGACCTACTAGAACCACATCATGGCAAGGCGGTTCCTAGGCTGACCTAGCAAAACCGCCTGCTGAGGATGCGGTTCTGTTTCTCTAACACAAACCGCATCCTCTGGGTGCGGTTTTCATCTGCCGACACACAAACCGCACCCCCTGCGGTTTGTGTGTATTCCCCATTTTCCCGACAACTAGCATGTTGGCCATGCAGGTTGACAGACGTGGGGCTGCATGTAGGGGTGGCAGTCGGTCGATTTCGGTTTAACCAAAAACCGAAAACCCGATTATCGGTTAAACCGAGCCACCCTCTATAGCCGCTGACCACCGAACGAAGAGAGGTCGCGGTTAGCCGGCCAATCGACCGGTCGGTTCCGGTTTTAGGCTCGGTTAGCCGGCCAACCGAAAAAAATACATTTTCCACAAAAAAAAAACTAAAAAGTAATTAAATAAAATAGAAAAATTTCCACCACTCCTTCCTTATCCTTATCTCCTCCTCTCTCCTTCACCAATCACCAGACCTTTTCTCTCTCCTTCCTTCTTCTCTCATCTTCTTTCTCCATGGGAGAGATCTGCAGGGGCGGCGACGCGCGGTGCTGGGGAGGAGGAGGTCGTCGAGGCGGTTGGAGATGAGAGGGAGGCGGTGGCGCGGCGCCGGGGAGGTTGGAGACGAGAGGGAGGCGCGGCGTGGCGCCGGGGAGGTTTGCGAGTCCAAGGGAGGTGAGAAGGGAGGATGGGCCAGGGCTTGAGGTAGCCGTTGGGGGTGGTGGCGTTGGACAGCGGCTCGTGGTCGGTGAGGAAGTGGTGGTTGGAGATGAGAGGGAGGCGGTGGCGCGGCAAGGTGTGGTGGCGGAAAGAGAAGTAGAGGAAGATTGTGATGGATGGAGTTGAGAGCGAAGATGGGAAGGGTTGGGGTCGGTGAGAAGGGGGAAGGGCAGGGGTCGACTGATTTGGGGGAGGAGGGAAGAGGCGGTGGCGCGGATCGGAGAAGGGAAGCGGCGGTGGCGCGGATCAGAGAAGTAGAGGAAGATGGAGTTGAGAGCGAAGAGGGGAAGGGCTGGGGTCGGTGAGAAGGGGGAAGGGCAAGGGTCGACTGATTTGGGGGAGGAGGCTAAGAGTCTTAGGGTTAGGATTATTGGGGGCGTGGGGCGGCGTCGTTTAAGGGGAAAGGGTAGAGGTCGGTTAGCCGGTTAACCGCCGGTTTCCGACCCCGATTAGTCGGCTAACCGGACCCCTGATTACCTCTACCGCCAACCGACCGCCCTCTTCGGAATCGGTTTTTCGGCTAGCCGAAAACTGGTCGGTTCGGTTGAAACCAACCGGTTAGCCGCTAACCGAAAAACCGTCCGCCAGGCCTAGCTTTATGGCAGATGAAAACCGCACCCTCCCCCTGCGGTTTTCAGTGATGATTTAGCCTATAAAAGGCAACCCTGGGAAACCTCTTCTCTTCACACCTCTCCTTCTTCTTCTTCTTCAATTTTCTGTTGTAGCACCCTACTCTTTATTATTTTTGCGATTAACGTTAACTCATAAGTTTATTTTGTATTAAATTTTTATTGTAATTTGTGATTTTTATGATTTTAACTGAATTACGGTTTTATTGCAGATGACATTCCAAAAGTTCACGCTTGGGTTACGTTGGAATGGTTACACAGAAGAGACCGGAAAGGGGGTCACCTACGTCGGTGGCAATTTTCAGAAAATAAAGGTCGCTACCAGAAAGGGGGTCTCTTTCCCAAAGTTTCTCTATCCTTCTCTGATACTCCGCCAACTTGTGTTGGGAAAGGTCGTCGCATGTTGTGGCCCCAACACACCTTATTAGTAAGACAATAATGAAATGTTATAACTAAATAACGAAATTGTTTTATGAAAACCATGATTGGGCATGAGAATCTACAACCATAAGCTTCACCTCTTAGGGGATCGTCGACGGGCCAATTCTTGTCGGGACGTTTCTCCGGTGCAATCCATGACAGATGCTCCCAAGCCCAAAATTGAACGATGAACATTGCCCCGCCAACCTCCCTCACAACTTTGAGAGATGCATTACACAAATGGTGGTAGATATTAGCTAGACAAGCGGATGCCCAGCTCAACTCCTCCATCGCATCCCAACTACCAAGGAGGATCCTAAGCCATCCACAACTAAGTAAATTGTTGGATTTTTTGGAGAAGAACACTCCTTCGATCATGCCTATGAGATGGACACGAGTATATCTTTCCTTCACCTCCTTGGGACTTTCCTCGGTCAGGGGCACCCCGCCTTTTATAGGATCGTGCTGGTCCTTCAACCACTTCGTCAACCAAGTGATTGATACTTGGTGTTTCCTCAATGGTGGTAAGCGATTTGTCGCATCAACGCTCCCTTGGTTGGCACTCGCACCCCCAAAACACTATAGATCAAATGCTGCCAACCGATCATATCACCAACATCCTCGGGCGCATGATCACTCACACACACCGCTTTGTCGTCGATGGGCGGATGGGTTAGGATGGCGACGTCCTTTAGAGTGATGGTGCACTCTCCTTCGCGAAAGTTGAAGCAATGTATCTCTTTTCACCATCTCTCCACCAATGCGGTGATGAGCAGCTATCGATTTTTATGCCCACAAAATGCCTAATCGACTCCAACCGTGCCTTGTTGAGAAAGCGCAAAATAACGTCGTTCCATGCGAGCACATTGGTCGTACCCCTGTAGCGGAGTATTTGGTATGCCTCCTAGCGAAAAATTTAACGTTATTTATGATATTTTAGTACTAGTTTTTTTTATAACTAAATTAATTAAAATAAATAAATTAACTTTGACCATAATTTTATTATAATTATATTATTAACAAACAAATTAAAATAATTCAAGATTTTTTCCAAGATATATTCATAATTTCATAAAGCAAACATACTTAATTAATTAAATTAAATAATATTTTAAATGAATAATAATTTAAAGAGATACATATTCAAATATTTGAAATTAATAAAATTATAATTGTACACATACACATAAATCATATTGGTTGTTTTAAATAATTTAATCGTATTGGTTGTTTTAAATAATTTAATCAAATATAATGCAACAGTCGTAAGACTCTTAGAAGAGGGTATACATCTTCTTAGAAACGCAACCTTTTTTACAGAAAAAGGGGGAACCGAGGATCGCTTAAAACCCGATTTTCCCAGGGAATGGGAGGATCATGATAATCGCTTAAAACCTCATTTCCTTAGGCATACATCTCTTTATAAAGAGTCTAAGTAAGTGGCGCTATTTATTCGATTAAATTATTGAAAATAACCAATACGATTAAAAATGATCAAATTTATTTTATATTCCACTAAGTACGTTAACAAATTAAAAGAAAGAGAAATGACGAAGAATTGTATGTATCTCATGATCGTTCCAAACATCCCTTGAACGATGGTTGGGTTGGTCGTACAACATGGTTGGATCACTAGGCCCTTGATCAACATTATACGGTTGGTTGTATATATCCACGTCGTCCCCAACCTAAAAGAGAATAACAAAAATATTAGTACATCTTTTAATTGAAAAGGTTATAACAACAACATTTCGTAAATGAGTACGTACGGCTTGAAATTCATCATAATAAATTCCCTCTTCTTGGAACCACTCGTCCATTTTTTCACGAAATTCAGACAGAGATTCGGCGGATTTTGAAGGAAAGCCAAAGAAATTTTTCTTATGGCAGATCGGACTTAGCCGCAACCAACAGACCACGATTTCCTAGGCTTTTGGGAGGGGATGGGGATGGATAGAGAGATAATTTTAGAGAGAGAGGAGAATGGGTTGTGGTGTGAAAAAATGATGAGGGGGAGGGGGGTATTTATACTTTTCAGACCGCACCCTCCAGGGGCGGTCCCGTAATTTTGCCGATTCCAAAACCGCACTAGGCGGGTGCGGTTCACGGCGTCCGAGGCGCTGACCGTTCGCCAGGCGCGCGGTCTTCGATCCCTAACGCGGATCGCCGCCTCATCCAACGGTTCTGGGGACCGCACACTAAGAGTGCGGTTTTCGGGCTGCCCTAGCGTGGAGCACTCCCCCATTGTGCGGTTTGCACATAAAACGCACCTTGAAGGTGCGGTTTAGGATGAAAGGTGCTATTTTTGTGGGTTGGGTGCTATTTTTGTAAATTTTTTTAAAGGTGCTATTATTGGGAAATCCCCAAATTACGAGGCATCAAATGCCCAAAGTAACGGTAGAGTGCATTTTATTATTTTTAATGGTCCAGTGACCATCACAACAGAGGAAAAACAAATAAACCAAAACCACATGACTAGTCATAAAATCCTAGCCAAGTTATTATTGGAACCTAAAACTTCATGTTGCGGTTTTTATTATAAAAACAAAATTGGTATTAACCGACAATAACCGAAATCCGCTACACACAAATTTTGCACGACAAAACAATGACCGCAACAACAATCGTAACCCAGAATTTTTCATCAAGAAATGGTAACAATGATTATTGTAACAACATAATAAATCATATATATAACCAGCAAATTTTCAAGTACCATAATTATTAACTTGAAAAGCCTCCCTTAAGCTATAGTTATTTATTAATCCTTCCATAAAAGCTTCCCTTTTCTCCATCCGTATCCGTAATAAGCAAACATTTAATAACAATACTTACTATTCTCGAGAATATCATATCATTCAAAAAAATCGTAAACCGAACAATGAAATAATTACACTTTACTGCACTTTCGTGTGCTTTACGGATTA